GCGCCGCGCGCGCCGTCGCCGCGCGGCCCCGCTCCGGCGCGGCGGGCGCGCCGCCCAGCTCGCAGGTCCAGTCCGGCCCGCGCGTGGAATGGTGGCGCTCCACCAGCCCCGACGGCTTGATGGGCGTGACGAGGCGCGGCAGGAAGGTGGCCCCCGCCAGCGCCGGCCCCGGGTCCTCACCGGGCCGGGGCCGGCCCAGGTCCACGCTCGACTTCTTGTGGTGCGCACCGGCCAGCCGCGCGGCGCGCAGCCAGGCGGGCAGGCCCGGGGCGGCGGGGCGCCGCGCCGCCAGCCAGGTCAGCGGGCCCGCGGCGGAGCCGCTTCGCGCGGCCAGGGGCAGCGCCAGGGCCAGCAGCCAGGGAGCGCCCAGCTGCAGCGCCCAGCGCAGTGCCAGCAGCGGCTCTGCGCCGCGGCCCGACCGCCCGTCCGCCGCCGCCAGCCACTCGCCGCCCGCGGCGTCGGGCGGCAGCACGTCCGCGCGCCACCGGCCGCGCGCGTCCCAGGCCGAGGGCCGTGCCGGGGCGGCGCCGGCCAACAGTAGGCGGGGGGGTGCCTCCTGGTACGCCTCACCGCTCAGCACCGTGACCTCGGCCACGGTGGGGCCCTCGGCCGCGTGCAGGGGCCGCAGCAGGCGGCCCTCGTGCAGAAAGGGGCGGCCGCCGAGGGGGGCGGGGAGAGGCGCGTCGGCGTGACGCTCCCAGGGACCCAGCGGGGAGTGCGCCCAGTGCAGGTCCAGGCCGCGAGCCGCGTCGCGGCGGTGGGCAAACAGCCACCAGCGGTCCACGTGCTGGAACACGTGGACCGCAGAGACGGGGAAGGGCAGCGCCTCCGCCTCCCGTTCCCAGGAGTGCGGGAAGGAGGTGGCCCGATACAGCCAGGTGACCTCCTTCCCGAGAGAGGGGACCAGCATATAAACCTGGTATGGGGCGAGGTTGAAAGGGGGGGGGGACAAAGGGGTTGAGGAAGAGGGAGTGGTGAGCTCTCGGAGTCGCAAGTAGGTGTGCGGCTTGGGACTCCAGGGAAGCCGAGAGGGATGCAAAAGCGTGGATGCCTAAGACCAGGACGGAGGTGCCAGGCAAAGGGAGACGACGTCGTACGGGCTCGGCACCACCGTCGCGATGGCATTGGTCGGGCCCACCTGATCCCAACCCCGCCATGGACCAGATGTCCTTCTACCAATGTGCATGCGGTTCCTCCGAGCCCACAAACCTGCCCAGCGTGCTGGAAGAGGGAGGGCGTCCCCAGGGCCCAGGGCTCCTGCAGCACCGGCTGGGCATACTGGAAAGAGCGGCCTCCGTCGACGCTGGTGGCCGCCCCGACGGCGTCTCGCCCCCAGCCTCGATACTGCAGGGTGTAAAACATGGTGATCGCGCCCGTGGAGTTTCGCCAGAGCACCGGGGACGCCACTGCGGGGGGGTGTGGGGGCTGTGGGGATCAGCAGATGGCGCGCTCAGGAGTGCTCGTCCTGTGGCTGCCTGAACGGCGACGAAGGGCATCTGCGTGGCACCAAACCCATCCAGCGCATGCGGGACGGGGACCGTGAGCACATAGCCTGACGATCACCAGGCCTCACCCCCAGCAACTTCGTCATCGAGGAACAGGGATGCGCATGTCAATACAGGGTTGGCCACTGGCCAGGCCGTCAGGGTGTCTTGCCGCGGGGAGTACTCCTCCACCGGCTGGAGATCGAAGGGGCCGCTGCCTTTGAAAATGCCGATGGACCAAAGACCCTGGGCTCGGGAGGGCGGGGGGAAGGGTGCCGTCATGGTGGGATCGTGGGCGACGGCTTGGAAGTGCCGCAACCCGCGGGGGACCTCATTGCGGTGCTTCGCCATACCTTGGACCCAGAAAGACACTGGACGAAACCCCCACGCTGCTTCACGCTCCAGTGCGCCCAGAAACATTGGAGGAGGGTGAGGGTGAGCAGGCAGTACCGTGTCGCACTGAGGTTCCGGATGGGGCCCCATTGCGACATGGCGTCGGGAGACGATCGAATTATCCTCACAAAGTCAAGTCTGATGAGAACAGGATCGCGCCATGGGCCGGGACCACGCCCTTGCAGTCCGTCCCATACGACTGTTCGAGTGTGCTGACTTGAACCCGCCGAGAAATCAGGCCCCGCAGCTGTAGGATACGATACAACTAGGGGGAAGGGAAATGGTTGTTGAATTGTACGATAGGTGAGCTCCTGGCTGATGGGGCTGGGGTCTCCAGCAGTCCTTGCCAAACGCAGATATACACAGCAGGCGCTCTGCACACGTGGCAAGGGGGGTGAACTTCCCCTGAAGACCGTCCGGGAAATCGGCACTCTCAATTTCGCGGGATCGGAGGGTTCACCTCAGCCAGCAGAATCCGGTGGGGGACCCAAGTATTCGCCCTTCCTAAGAGACAAAGGAATATGCACGCCCTGAGAGGTGCGCCTTTCCGAGCCTCTGTCATCTCACGACACCTTGCTCCTGCTTTGCAAGCACGGCCAGAGTCAGGTAAACCCTATGAGCGGGATACAGTGCACTTTGGGTTGCTCTTAGACATCTTCATCCACATTCCCTACTGCAAATCCTGCAGTCGCTGCAATGGCCACCGCTGCACGGAGCTCCCTGGGTCGGATCGCTCTCGGCGACACCGCCCTTTTCGTGTGTGACATCCAGGAACGCTTCCGGGAGGCCATTCAGGGGTTCCCCGCGGTTGTGGACGTTTCCCGACGCATGGTAAGGCGTTTGCTTCGTCACAGTGGAGGCTGCATTGTTGAGTTGACGTCATCCCTAGCAGCACAACCCGGGGGCATCAGGCCTTCCGATCCCTTGCACTTGTCGTACCCTAAATTTCCAATCCCTTTGACCTACAGATCCGTGCCGCGGAGGTGTTTCAGATCCCCGTCATCGTGACAGAGCAGTACCCTAAGGCTCTGGGCAAGACGGTTTCTGAGCTGACAGAGGTGCTCCCCAAAGATGCCCAAGGTGGAAGTCGCACTTCTGTCGCCATGGATGGCAATGAGCAGGTCAATGTACGGTCTTAACAACCCCACTGTATCCCAGCCAGTCACCGCCCACCCCTCCATACCATGTCCCTTGCAGTGTTTGAGAAGACCAAGTTCAGCATGCTCATCGACGAGGTCTCGGAGTTCCTGACGCGCAGGGACGACATCAAGCGCATCTTGATTGTTGGGATTGAGGCCCACGTCTGTGTGCTGCAGACGACCCTGGAACTCCTTGGTGAGTTTGGCTGCGTTGACTGACAGACTGCACTTTCCTTCCTGAGTGCCGAATTAGGGACACCTTTGGTGGTGACACCATGTTTGACTTGGCACTGGCCTCGGCTCAACTCCCCTGCCCCATACCACCCTCATCTCTATCAGATCCTCCTCTTGCATGCACCAATTTTGTATCCCTACACCCATATATATGTACCCTTGGCGCCACCACCCGCCCTCCCAGATCGCGGTTATGAGGTACACATCCTGACAGATGCCGTCTCCAGCCGGTATGCCCTCGACCGCTCGACAGCACTGCACAGGCTCTCCAAGGCCGGCGCTATTCTGACGACTTCAGGTGATTGCCGGATTTGTGTTGCAAGTGTCGCATTCTTGATGTTTACACCCGGGAGGGATTACTCAGAAGGCCTTCACCCATTTGCACACCCTCTGCCCACTGCTGCAGAGACTGCCAGTTTCCAGCTGATGGGCAACACGACCTACCCCAACTTCAAGGCCATCTCTGCCCTCTTCAAGGAGAAGAAGGCAGACTCCCTGCCTGGCCTCTGATGTGTGGAGCGCGAGCGTGCGATTTTTTTCACGGCGTACTCGGGATTTTTTTGTTGCATGGGAGCTCATAGTATTTGAGTAATAAGGCCTGCATCCAACTCGGATATCAGCCTGTTCAAGTCACCTCTGCAGTTCCATGGTTCCTGACTTAGATGCTAATGGTCTGTTCCAGGTGCTCCGGGGGACGAGAATCGCATGACAGGCTGCGAAGGTACAGTTGTGCTCCATCTGCATGTGCACAGTGCCCAATGAAAGGGCTCACGTTCTTCCGATGGGCCAAGTGGCGACACGAGCACATATATGGCTTCGGGATATCGTCAACACACCGGCTTGCCAATGGGTGTTGGTTCGGGACTCTGTGTCCAATACTATGCGCGGGTATTGCCGTAACAAACATCAAAACGCGCGCGCCCTGTCACTCCGAAATGATGTGGACCCCACCCAATCCGTCATGAAAGCGCTACCCAGCTGACAGCAGGCGGTGTTCTCGAAATCAACGTAACAAATGCCTGTGATCTTGTGTGCGAGTGGGTTGCCAGTGGCCTCCGCTCCCATCCTCGCTGCACCCCGTCCCGGAGCCTGGGGACCCAACAGACGCAAGTCCCGGCGCCCTGCGCCCTCCTCAGCATGGCGCCCCGGGACACTGGGCGGTGACTCGGTGCCCCCCGGGGCGGAGTATGGCGAGGTGGGTCGGGAGCCTCCCGGAGCGGTTGCTGGGGCAGGCTGCCACCGGGATTTGCTGCTGCTGCCAGGTAGGTTCCAGGGCCCACCCCTTCACCCACGCCCACGCAGGGCCTGCTCCAATTCCTCACTCCCGGCGGCACCACCCGTCTGGACGTCGACCGCCTGAATGAGAAGCTGCGGCCGGAGGGCGCAGCCCGGTGTCGGCAGAGCATGTTCCCTGACGAGGCGCATGGCCTGATTTTTGACTGGGACGATGTGATCGCCGACACGGCCGGCCTCCAGCTGGCCGCCTGGCACGACCTGGCGGCGCTGGAGGGCTTGAGCCTGGAGGCCGGCATGCGGAGGCGGGGGGCCCTGCTGGACCTCCGACCCGAGCGAGCCATCCACGAGGTCGGACTGGAGTATGAAAGGGTTGTGGTTTCTTTGTGTCCCGGGGGTGCTCCTGGCACGCTGCCTGCCCTGCTGACACGCCCATGCCTGGCGGGGTCCTGCATACTGGTCCGTGACAGAGCCGCGCCTGCCCTGTGTGCACCCAGCGCCGTTTGCATGACCAGGCTTGGGCATGAACGTAGGTACCGTTCCCACATAGATGCTTCGCCCCCCGGTCCCCCCCCCACATACAGGTTCTGGGCTGGACGAGGGACTGGGTGCGCGCGCAGGCGCTGGCCCGCCAGCTGGCGGCCCTGTACCTGGCGCGAGTGGAGGCCTCGCCCGCCCCCCTCCCCGGCGCGGCGGCCTGGCTGGCTGTCGCCGCGCGCCACCGCATACCCTGCGCGCTGGTGACGTGGCTGGAGGAGAGCTGCGCGGCGCGCCTGCTGGAGGCCTGGGGCCTGACCTCCGCCTTCCAGGCCGTGATCGGCGCGCGCATGGGTGCGGAGACCCAGGCCGAGCGCCTGCTGTGCGCGGCCTGCGCGCTGCGCCGCCCGCCCGAGCGCTGCGTCGCCTTCTCCGCCTGCCCGGGCGCCGTCACCGCCGCCCACAACTGCTCCATGCGTGCGGCGGCCGTGGCGGGGAAGCACCCGGCCTACGCGCTTGCGGCGGCCGACGTGACCGTGGCCTCCCTGGCCGACCTCTCCGTCGTCAACGTGCGCCGCCTGTTTGCCGACGCGGGCACCCAGCGCATGGACCTGTGCAAGCAGGAGGCGCGGGCGGAGGGCCGGTCACGCCCACGGAGAGTGACCACGGGGGAGACCCCTACCTGAGAGTGGCAATGGGCTCGGCAAAGCCTGCATGCCCTCGGTTGCCTCGCAGCTTGTATCTCGTGCTGTACCATATCCCAGGCGAGCCCCTGTGCCTGGCCAATCGCCTGTCCTGCGCTGCCGGAATCCCCTGCATTACAATGGGAATGTCCACGCAGCAAGACATGTGCTCATGTACCGGCCTCATACCGTTTGCCTGTAAAATACAGCCTGAATGCTGCATGCCTCGGGGAAGCGAGATTGGCGCCATTATCGAGTGGTAGTGGGGCCCTCGTGGTGGCTACCTCTTTGAAGGCACCCTGGGGCCGGCAGCCACGCAGGCCAAGGGTGCAGCACCTGTGGTGCTCCCCAGACTCGTCTAAAGTTCAAATGTGCTTGGCGCCCGCTCCAAAGGCGTCCCATCCCTTTGGTAAAGCCCTCCTGCCTACTTGACCACCACCTTGCGCGGGTTGGCCTCGCGATAGGAAATGTAGGAGTAGGCGGTGGAGCCAAGCAGGCCCAGCGCCAGGCCCAGGGCGTTGAGAGGGCGGAGGGGGACGTCGGAGAAGAGCGTGGCTCCCAGGGCGGTGGTCAGGATGTCCTTCACCTGCCCGGAGACGTTGGTTGCCAGCGCAGAGTTGACCAGGGTGCAGCGGAAGATGCAGACGTTGAGCAGGAAGGCCTGAGAGCAGCTGACCAGGAGGAAAACGAGGAAGCGGGGGTCGGCAAGTCGGGGGTAGGCGGCCACACCCGCCAGCTCATCGGTGCCCAGCAGCAGCATGCCCAGCATGAGGGGCAGGGCCAGGACGTTGTTGTACAGCAGTAAGGTGTGCTGGTTCATGCCTGGTGTTTGAAGGGGGTGGAGGGTGGGGGTGGTGGTGAGAGGGAGGGAAGATTTGGAAGGCAGAATGGGGGTCCCCCGAAGCCGGTCCCAGGGGCAGGCGTGGGCGCAGCAAGGGAGGAGCAAGGAGGGCGTCGCCCCACGGATACCTGTGTCCTTGAGCTTGCGAATGAGGAGCAGGTAGGTGGCGGTGCTGAAAACGCACACCGCCACCCAGAGGTAGCCGGCGAGGTTGAACGTGACATCAGACAGCCCCGCTACGATAGCGCCGCCTGTCATGAGGCCCAGCCCCGTCTGCAAAGTTCAAGGGGGAGGTAAAGTGAGGCTCTCGATCCGACTCAAGAGAGAATTCCGCATAGGAAGATAGGTCAGGTCATACATGAAGGTGCCACTCACACTCGGGTGACGTCATATCACACGTGCCCGATGGGGCAGCACATAATACTCTGCACACCCACCAAATAATGTCCTCCTGTTTGCATCCACACCACCATCCCCACTCACCAGCGATAACCCAGTGGGGACCTTGTGGAAGGCCAAGTACTCGCCCGCCACCACCACCAGGGTGGTGCTCCGCCGCAAGACACTGGGGTGGAAAGAAAGGGGAGAGGTGTATGGCTTGATCGCGCATGATCTGTACAAGTCTACCTGCGTGCTGCCCTTGAAAACCGGCCCCCACCTGTACATCGGGACATTGAGGAAGCGAAGCGCCGTCACACCAGACACCACATAGAGCCACCAGAACAGAGCAAGGGGTGCAACCTGGTGATGGGGTGGGTGGGAGGGGGCCTCCTGGTCAGTTTGGACCCGGCACAGAGAGGCTTGCTCAAAGCCGGCATGCAAAACCAATCTTGAGCACGAGCCCGGCGTCACCCACGCACCCGTCGTGCACCCTCGATGGTCAGGGCACCCACTCGTAGGCGACCAGAGTACTTGAGTGTATAAATATAAAGAATGGAGACCAGGATCTGGATGAGGGTTACGAAGGCCGGGAAATTGAACTGGTAAACGCTGAATACCGCTCGGTTGAAGAGGGTAATGCTGACGGACACCACCCCATACTGGATGCAGATGATGGCCCTCTGGGAGGGTGTGGGTTCCATCAGCATGCTCCCCCGGTTCGAGGATTGGGGTCCGGGCAGCAAAGACTGGGGGGTCTTGGTCCTCGCCATGCGGGCTGGGGTGTCACCGCCCCCGCATTCTATGTGCACAGGGAAGCCGTGCTCAGAGGTCTCTTGGTGACCGGCTTTGGACACTGTGCGCGACAGGGGAGATTTGTCGCATTGGGGCTGTTCGATCCTCGACATTGCTTCGCAGGGGGCGTGCTTCACCCCACCCTCGGACGAGGCTGGCAGGCATACGCCTAGATTCGCATGGGCGGAATACTTGCTCCCGACTTCTCATCACAAGTTTGCCATGTTGCCCAGATAATGAGGTACGCAAGACAAATCCTCGGATTACAGCCCAAACTTGCGTTGTCCTGTGCCAGGTCGTGCGGACCCGGGCGTGGCGATGGACTTCCGTTGCTTCTCCCGGATGGCCGCTTCCCGCTCAGCCTGGGCAGCCTGCAGCACCCTGGCCTCCGCCTGCGACTTCTCCAGCTCCCCCTCCATCACAGCCCTGGCCGTCCGCTCCTGCATGATCATGGAGATGTTGGCATGGCTGAATCTGGGTGCAGGCAACTGGCATTCTTGAAAGGGGGGGCAGGGGGTGCCCTTGGGCCATCCACGCACCTTCTGACGCTGCTCCAGGCGTGAGGAGTGCGTCTCCTTGACGGAGAAGAACATGGGGCCCATCTCCGCCAGCCACTCCGGATCCACAGCCGTGACGCACTGGGTGGGTGGGTGGATGGGTGTGCGGGCGGTCGGGCCGCGGTTCTGCCAGGTGTTTGAGAGCACATCGATACCGAGTCTCGGACATCAGCCGCCCTCTCTACCCCCCCCTCCCCTAAAAATGCGTCGCCCTTCAACCTCCTTCCTACAGCACACCTGCATGTACTCCTTGCTGGTGAACACCAGTTCGTGGTAGGTGATGTAGTCTGGGGTGTACCCCAGTCCATACAGCGCCGACGTCGGGTGCAGAAAGCACGGCATGCCGGTCCGGCAGTTGACGTACTCCCCGATGCCCTTGAGCTTGGCGGCTTGGTGGAAGTAGGAGGAGCATATGGCCTGCAGGGCGGCCGAAAGGGGTGGGGGAGGATGGGGATTCCGCATGACGATCCGAGCTAGGATGCCGGCAGGTGCGATGGTTTCTGCCCATGCTGCCTTCCCCACCTTGCGCACGACGTCCCAGTCGTTGCCGCAGCTGGTGATGGGGATGCGCTGCTGCTGCATGATGTCAAGCAGCTGTGTCCTGACTTCCTTGGCCTTCTTCAGGCCCTTGGACTGCATTGAGATTTGAGGATTTGAAGCGACGGATGAGGAGTGAGTGAGAGCGAGGCTGCCAGCTCTGAGCGTCACGCTTTTCTGGCAGACTAGCAAATCCCACATCCGGGCCCCCTCCTCCAGCGCATGCGCGGCACCTGCAGGAAGTGGGCCGAGCACCAGTCGCCGCGGTAGCCGTTGCTCTTCCACTGCTGGTAGACGTGCAGGAGGGTGAGGTGGTCCGACTCTGGAACGAAGAACTTTTCACGCGCGGCGTCGCTCTCCTCCGCCCTGCGAGGGTTGGCAGGTGGCCATGGGGCGTACTTGGTTCAGCCTGACGCTCGATATCATGCCAGGGGCTGTTCCCTCCATGCAACGCTCCTGGGTTCCAACAGCACTGTGTTCCCGGTCTCCGGCCTTCACTGCCCCTCTCTTCTGCCTCGGCCCAAGATCCCCTCCTTTCCGCTCATTCCCAGCCCACCAACCTGTCTGGCGGGCGGAAAAAGACGGAGGGTACGGAGAGCATGGAGACGACGGTGAGCACCTCGTTGCTGCACCCCATCTGCGCGCCCGCCAACAGCATCTTGGCCAGAGGCGGGTCCAGCGGGAACTCGCCCATCTTGCGCCCCAGGGCCGTCAAGCCGCCGGTGTTGTCAAGGGCACCCAGCACCCACAGCTGGTACATGCTGTGCATGATGTTTTCCTGCGAAGGAGCGATGAGAGGGAGGGGGGGGGAGTCAGGGCAGGGCTGAGCACCTATTTCTCAGTGCTTGCTGGCATATGAGAAGCATGAAGTGCCAGGTCCAAATGAGGCTGGACCCTCCACCACCCGCCTCCGCCACACCCGCCCGCCTGCCACTAGCCTGGGGGGGCGGGTCCATGAAGTCAAACTCCAACAGGTTGTCGATGTTCAGGGACTTGAGCAGGAGCACGGTGTTTGAGAGGTTGGTGCGCTGGATCTCGGGCACGGTGGCTAGCAGCATCTCTGCAGGAGCGTGAGGGGGGAATGGGGAGTGGGGCACACATTGGGTGGGAAGCAGGACAGACTGGGCTGCTACAGTTGCCAGCAGTCACCACACAGCAAACCGAGTTCAGCCCTTGGGAGGTGCAGCCGGCCCGGTCTGCCGGTCCAAGGAACACATCTGTGACTCAGACGCCGCCTGGGAACCCTGTGCAAGCTCACCGTGGCGAAAGGCGCTCTCTGTGAACAGGCGCCAGCAGGTGCCCGGCCCGGTCCGTCCCGCACGCCCAGACCTCTGATTGGCCGCCGCCTGGGACTCGGGGAAGACCTGCGGCGACGTGTGTCAGGGGGTGACGAGAATGAGGGAATGGGTCGCAAGGGATCACAGATGTAAGGCCAGTCACCAATGCTGTATGTGGCTGAGCCCTGTCCTTCTACAGTAACCGCATCCTTCTGCCAGGCCTGCAGCCATTGTCTCAATCCCACTCGCCTCCTCACCCAGCCGGTCTTGACCCCACCTCCCCCACTCTCCCTGCTCACCGTGAGGGCATCCATACCCATCTTGGGGTTGTACACTTTCATCTTAGCATACCCGGTGTCTATGACATAGATGATGCCATCCACGGTCAGACTTGTCTCCGCAATGTTGGTGGACACCTTCAAGCACGGTGGGAGGGAGGTGAGAATTTATGGAGCAGGACGGGATCGTGCGTGTGCGCAATAGGAGACTCGACCATCAGCACACAATGCCTGGCCAGCGACTGCCACACTGATCGTCCCGACCTCTGCGCACCACTATCTTGCGGGTGCCCTCAGGCGCGCGCTCGAAGATCTTGGCCTGCAGGTCCGAGGGCAGCTGGGAGTAGATGGGCAGTATGAGGGCATCCGGCACACCCTCCCCCAGCTGTTCGAGCCGCTCCTGCAAGGATGTGGAAGTGTGAGGGGAGGGTGGTCGATGAGGAGGCTCGGATGCATCCCCGACAGCCCCTTCCGGAGCCCCTCAGACGTGCACCCACGCGGGAAAGCCAGAAAACACACCGCGATGGAGAAGCAGGTGGCCTCGATCTCCTCCTGCCCCGTCATGAAGATGAGGATGTCCCCCGGAGGATGGCCAAGGTGCACGGCAATGGCCTGCTTCACGGCAGCTTCCACATAATCCTCCTGCAGCAGTGGGGTCGGGTGGGGGTTGGTCCACAGGAGACAGGGTCCCACCTTGGTGTGGTGGGGAGGGGGCCCTGTAGCTGGTGCACCTCGGTGCTCAACGTACCCATACCAAGAGCAGCTGCCGCGCTGCTGGGGACGACATGGCCTCGCCTCCCACCTACCTGGGGCGTCTTGGAGAAGAGGACATCGACGGGGAAGGTCCGCCCGGGGATCTTGAAGATGGGGACGGAGCCGAAGAAGTCGGAGAACTTCTGGGAGTCAAGGGTGGCCGAGGTGACGATTAGGCGGAAGTCACGGCGGCGAGCCACAACCTGCTCAGGTTGGTTGGTGGAGAAACGTGAGGGGCTGACAGGGAGTACAGAGGGGTCGGTCTCATCGGCTCCTTTACAGGTGCGTGACAATGGCGCATCAGGGTGTCAACATTCTTCGGGAGCATGGAGGTCGGGGCCCTCCTCGCCGATGCCAGATTCTCCCGCCTCCAAGTGAGCAGGAAGGGGCATCCCGGGCAGCATCCTGCCTCAACCGCTCTACGACCCTCCCCCAGCGCCCCATCACCTTCTTCAGAATGCCAAAGAGGACGTCAGTGTTCAGGGATCGCTCATGGGCCTCATCCATAATTATGGCAGAGTACCTGTGACATGGGCAGCGCATGGATTGGCTTCATGACAGTCGGCTCCATGCAGGCGCGCCTGGGACAGGAAATCATTCTTCTAGCCTCCTCTGGTGGCTGAACCACAGGCTTACTAGTCGGAGTGACCCACACTATCCCTTTGACGATGCTGCCAACATCCATGTTTGCAGCCACCCCCCAACTATTCAAATTAAATTACCCCCGCCCTTGCTCAACCCTCCTGTTCCTCCGCCCACCTGTCAAGATCGGGCTCCACCAGGGTCTCACGCAGAAGCACGCCGTCCGTCATGTACTTGATCACCGTGTCCGCGGAGGTCACGTCCTCGAAGCGGATGGAGTACCCCACCTCGGCCCCCAGCTCCACCCCCATCTCCTCGCTCACGCGCTTGGCCACCGACATGGCCGCCACGCGGCGCGGCTGGGTGCACCCCACCAAGCCAAAGGTGGTGTACCCGTCCTCGGCCAGGTACTGGGTCATCTGCGTGGTCTTCCCACTCCCCGTCTCGCCCACCACGACCACGACCTGGTTCTCGCGGATGACCTGGCATGAGACAAGAGGGAATGAGGGGGTTGGGGGAGGTTTGTGTGAGTGGGGTTGAGAGTGGAGTGGGGGCTGCTTGGGTGGCTGTTTTGACACGGCAGCCATGGTGCAAGGCTCGACCTCGCCTCGAGACGGCCTGTTCAAAGACAGGGACGCTGACCCTCATCGAAACCTGCTATTCCCCTGCCAGTCCCTCGCAGACTCATGCACAACAGGGCCAGGGGGAGGCGTCCCCTCCCATCCAGCTGGGATCTCGCAGCAAAACAGAGTCCCCAGCTCCTAGCTCCCCCTCCTCCTTGAACCCACTGGCACAAGTACCTGCAGCATCTCCTCCCGCACGCTGTAGACGGGGAGAAAGCGGCGCTGCTGGGCCAGGGTCTTGGTCCGCGCGAACTCGGACGCCGCCTCGTTGGTCTTCATGTGCGTCCGGAACTGCAGGTGTGGATGAGGAAAAGCGGGGGCGATCATGCTGCCGCACCACTCGGGTGTGTCAAAAAGAGCCATGCTTGCCCGGCCCCTTGCCTCATGCATGCAGCACCCTCCCCCTTCATGTCTGGCGGGCACTTGGGGCAGCCAAAGCCAGTCGCCCTCTGCCCTGGAGCTTTCAATTCCTCCCTCCCCCTTTCCCCCTAAGGACCCCCCCGCTTGCTACAAGGACCAGAAACACCAGCCACGCACCTGGCTCTTGCCGCGGTAGTCACCCTCGTCGTCGCTGCCCTGCTCCAGGCGCATGAGCTCCTCCTGGCGCGCCTTCTCCTCGCGCTCGCCGCCCGTCAGCCCCGTGATGCTGCCCATCTTGGAGCCGGCCACCTCCCAGAACCGGGCCCGGCTCTTCCCCGCCTCCTTCTTCTCGCGCACCTCCTTGACCAGGCGCGACCCGGCGCGCGCGATCACCGCCAGGTCGGAGGTCGGGTCCTTCAGCGGCAGCACCGGCCCGCGCTGGCGCGTGAACAGGAAGCGCCCGTCCAGGAACGGCGGCCGGGTGTCGTGCACCAGCAGCACGGTACGCAGGTCGGCGGCGTCGTCGAACTCGGTGGCCACCTCTCGCAGGCGCACCACCCCGCTCTGCACCAGCCGGTTCTCCTCCCAGGCGTTCATGTCCTTCTGCAGCTCCCCCGCGCGCTTGCTCTGGGCCAGCGTCATGAGCGAGCCGTCGCGGCGCGTGAGCCGGCGCTGCGCCGCCTCCGCGCGCCGGCGCAGCGCCGGGTCGACCTCCGCGTCGCCCAGGAAGGGGTTGTGCGTCTCGTCCACCGTGCCCCCGGCGTCGTCCTGGTCGTACCAGTCGCGGTCCAGCTGCGCGTCCTCGCTACCTCGCGCCGTGCCCTGGAGGAAGGAGGGGGGGAGGGGTGGAGGGGGGCCGCGTCTCCAGCGTGCCCAGCGCATCAACCTCCCCGCCACACACCCGCACACACACAACAGCACATCATGGAGAAAGGACGCCCAGCACACCCACCTCGCCGCCGTGCAGGTCCGGGGAGCGGTCCAGGGTGGGCTGGCCGCCGGGCGCCCGGTTCCAGGCGGCGCTGCGCCAGCTGGGCGTCATGCGGGCGAGGCGGCGGGCCCCG